AAAGACCCTGTTCGTATAAGTTCTGCTTGGATGTTGTTGTGTTAATGGCTTGGTTTGTTTAGTTATGGTTTGGGGGTGTGCTTCTCCTCTTCTAAATGTCTATGTAATGGTTCTTATTTTCTTTTCTTTTATTTTTTTTCTATATTAATATCCAAGTGTCCTTTTATGTGATATTTATAGTCAATATGTGATATTTATAGATAATATGTGATATTTGCTATGTTATTCAAGTTTTTAATATTTATATGATTTATTACACTTGATTATGTGACATATGATAGTTTCATGTGACATATGACAGTTTCGTGTCACATATGCTGTTTTTATGTGATGTTTATGCATTCTGTGTGGCATATGCTGCGTGTATATCACATATGATAGTTTCATGTGATATTTTGATATTATGTGTGACATATGCTGCTGTTATGTGATATTTTTACATTTTGTGTGACATACTCATTATCCATAACATATGTTGCTGTTATGTGATATGTATACATTACAGTGTGATTTAACCTCTTTTCAACTATAGAATGTGAGACTTCAAGAGTGCTCTCCATGCAAATTTCTTGGAGAATTTTTTGTTGACATCTCGTGGCGAGTATTCATCATTTCCGTAATTTGCACACGAATGTGATTCATCATATCACAAATAAGAAGTGTTTTCGCCACACGAATCCAATTGTTGAAAGATTTAGTAACATTAGAAGTGATATGATCATATTTGTGTGTCAAATAAAAATTAACTACAAAGTCACATATAAACGACAACTGTCACAAGCAACGACAAAATATCACAGAACACAGGTAAGAGTCACATATAATAGAGTATTGCCACATGAGACGAGTAAATGTCACACATAACAGACGAACGTATACTTGTATGCAGCAAACTCCAATAATTTTGAAATACGTTGAGCAACACTTGAGGCAAAACACATCTCTCTAAACTTCAATTTACAATTTTTAACAAGATGAAGTGTACATCTAGAAATATATCTTATAGATGAAGTACACATCTAACATTCATATGTAATACGTTAACGTCACATATGAGGTCTCAATGCCATATTTAATACTCAAAAGTCACAAATCAGATCTAAATATCATATATAAGGAAATAGGATGGTGGGTTGGGATTATAACTTCCTGATGTATTTTTGTTTGATGGGTTGAAATTCTTTATAAGGATGATTTTGATCCAATTAGAGTTCAAATTAGGAGTGTTGTTATGTTTCTTAGTTATTCAAGGTTAAATAGGAAAATGAGGGAACATATATGTATCATAATTAACCGTAAATGTGACAAATAAGCATACTATGTGATATTCACATGTGGAATGACTCTATTAGATGTGACTTATATCTGTTGTATGTGATATTTGGGTATTATTTGTGATATTTATTGTTTATACGTGACACATTCACTATCAACAAATTACAGTCAAATATCACAAATTGTGTCACTATCAACAAATTACAGTCAAATATCACAAATTGTGTCACTATCAACAAATTACAGTCAAATATCACAAATTGTGTCACTATCAACAAATTACAGTCAAATATCACAAATTGTGTCACTATCAACAAATTACAGTCAAATATCACAAATTGTGTCACTATCAACGAATTACAGTCAAATATCACAAATTACAGTCATGTGTCACGTATAAACAACAAATATCACAAGCAACACCCAGATATCATATACAACACCCAAATATCACATACAACACCCAAATGTCATGTATAAACAACAAATGTCATAAGCAACACTCAAATATCATATACAACACCCAAATGTCACGTATAAACAACAAATATCACAAGCAATACCCAAATATCACATATAACACCCAAATATCACATACAACACCCAAATATCACAAATCAGATCTAAATATCACATATAAGGTAGAACTGTCACAAATAAGATTGAATTGTCACATATAATATTGAAATGTCACATAATATGCTTATTTGTCACATTTATGGTTAATTGTGATACATATATGTTCCCTCATTTTCCCATTTAAAGTTGAATAACTAAGAAACATAACAATACTCCTAAAGTGAACTCTAATTGGATCAAAATTATCCTTACAAATGATTTCAACTCATCAAACAAAAATACATCAGGAAGTTACAGTCCCAACCCACCATCTCATTTCCTTAGTAGAACCAATCTACAATAATGTGCAGTAAACAATGAACTCAAAACTCAAATCTAAAGCAAACAAATTTCCCTCTTCTTCTTCTTTTTTTTTTGGGTGCACTGAATTAGGTACAAATCATCGATGTATACTTCATCTCCTACGAGCTGGGGAACCTTGATGTTCTCGTGATCTCGACTGCAGAATTAGAAGCATGAAAAGAGTATTTATTAGTATTAGATATTGTTTGGTTGACAACAAACAATAGAACTGCAGAAGTGCTTAATGGAGTGACCTTTATATTTTCATTGTTAATTTGTTTTCAGACATAGAAATATACTGTAAGTAATTACTATGCATTTTAAGTTATACCTGGACCCAAAATTAGTGGATTGATTCGGATTGACCCATAGATTGGTTCAAATACAAATTTTATGAGAACATCTTCGTACAAACATGATGATGTTCGGAGTATTTCATTAATTTATGTTGAAAAAAATACCATCATAAAACTGGGGCTTTTCTACAATTTAATTAGTCACAAAAAACAAAGTTTGGTTAAGAGAGTTTCTCACGTTTTCAGCATGAGCCAGTGCCAGAGCCACTTGCTCTTGTCATCAGAATCAGTAACAGAGAGCTCCCTTGGGTGCAAAACGACGCCTTGGAAGCCAGTCCTCTCAATCCAAGAGGTCTACAAAAAGAAATAGCTAAGGAAACTAAAAATTTGCAAGAAATTTGTATATGTATGAAAATGAATTTATGTTAAGTAGACAAAAGAATGCACTTTGAACTTACAGTTCTATTAAGCTGGGATCCCAACCGAGGAAGGGGTCGGGGAGGAGGGGGAAGGGGAAGGGGGAGGAGGAGAGGATGTGGCGGAGGAGGGAGGAGGAGGGAGGAAGGGGGAGGAGGCTGCGGCGTCGGCGGTGGTGGGGGAAGGAGATGTCTTGAGCCAGATTAGGTCAGCTTGAGGATGAAAGGGATTAAGTTTTAAATGGGGGAAGAAGGGTAATTTGGGAATGAATTTCTTGGGCTGTGGGAAGAAGGGGTTGGTTGCACTTATGTTTCAATTTAAGGGCTTGGGGGTTATGATTTTTGGGCTGGGGAGGAAGATGCATTGACCAACTTTTTTAGGTTCCTCCAAGCAATTTTCCCTAAAATTATTACCCATAGGCCTTACGCTACTTCGTCAGTTTGATGTAGGAGCATGGCCCCTTGACGAAACCAACCACGTATCATCTCCACATCGAGCTAGCAACGCCAAAACAGACCAGTGGCAAAGCAGTAAATAATCCTTACCCAAGTGGCCAATCATCAAACACCAGATATTTGCCACCCTTTATCTACCCAAAATCCCCCCCTCCCTCTCCTTCATCCCTCAAACACACACACACACACACACGAACGCACACCCCACAATGCAAAACCTCCACACAACCCCATCCTTATCGGGTCGGATCTTCCCCAA